TGTATAAAATGTGCTATTTTATTGTTTTGGGATTTGTGGTATTAGTTTAATCTAACTTTAATTAATTTCAATTATTGTTATTTAATATTTAAATGCTTGTTTCCTTATGTTCCAATTATTGTATTTTATGCATTTTCATTTATGTGGCCAATGAATGATTGTGTTTAGTGAATTGTGTATCGTTCGAGAGAAGATTGTGTATTTTAGACCAAATATAGAAATCTTAGGTTTATGTAGGGAATAGAGATATACTCATAGCTCTAGGTGATCCAATGAGCTATTTTCACAAATATTTAATGCAATTATTTTGTTTTAATCGACATTGAGATACAGTAGGTTAAACCAATCAATTATGATTAATTTCGTTCGAGAGAGATAATTAACTAAAGTTGGAAAATCGGGTCTAACATTGTAAATGAGTAACTTGTTAATTGGCTTATTAAGAATTGATTAGGCGACGTTTAAGCGAAACCATGAATCCCAACCACGTTTTCCTTCGAAGTTTTCAAGATTTTTATATTTTCTTATTTTGTAGATTTTTAATTATATTCCAAAATTATAATTTTATTGTATGTTTATTTTTATTGTTAAAATAAAATTAATTAATGTTGTGTAATCTAAAATATACATTCCTCGAGAGATTGACAACCTGAATTCAAAAAATTCACTTTATTACTTGAACGCGACCCATGCACTTGTAGCATGCACTTTTAGCGAACACTACACAAGGCACCAGATCCCACTTTCCCTCTACAAGTCCGATGACGTTTGTAAGATTAGCATCGTCGGCGATGAAGGTGCTCGTGTCTCCCTCCACATATCCAAGTCGTGTTTACAACATCAGACACAATGCCTATTGCTGCAATAGGCACCGAAACCACTACCTTCCTCTCTCCGACGCCAGTAACACGTGAACCACTCTGCGTACATTTCCCCTTTATTTCTTAGATCTGGTTTTAAACCAGTGGGGACGTCGTTGCCATGGCTCACAACGACGCTGCATGGTTGTATGACTTGCAACAATGCCAATTGTGGACTGTAATCAGCAATAGCAGCGACAGCTGGTTTGGAAAAAAATTTCGTGGGTAATGTACGAGGTTGTGTGATGGTGTATTTTTTGGTGTATTTGGTGGTTTCTGACAGAGGGTAATGTTGGTGTATTTTTTTGTGGGTGATCTGGTGCATTTGATGGTGGCGATCGTGGTGGCTTTTGGCGACGATGAAGGTGCTCGTGTTGGCAGTGGTGATATGGGTAGTGTTGGTGAGGATGTGGGTTGGATATTATTGGTGTGTTTGTGGCGACGATCATGGTGGTTTCTGGCAGCGGTGGATGGTGGTGGAGATCTAATAGTGGTAATTGTCGTGATTTTTGTTGACAATTGTTATGATTTGATAGTGGTGATGTTGTGGTGTTCGTGGTGATGGGTGCGACGGTGGTGGTGGTTTTGGTGACGACGATGGTAGTAGTGGTGCTGGAAGTAATAGTGAGATGATGGTCACAAATTATTTGATTGACTATGACAATTAAATTGGTTAATATATGATCAATAAATAATATGTGATCAATAAAAAATATAAATTGTGATCAAGAAATAATGTGTGACCTAAAAAAATTTTAATTTGTGATTCGATAATTTGATATTTTGTGACTGTATAAAAAGTTGTGACTTGTAATATTTGTAACCAATGAATAAATCGTGACTTATAAATTTTTTGATTTGTGACTGATGAATAAAATGCGACCTGTAAAATTTTTGAATTGTGACCGTAAAATAATTTGTAATATAAAATTTTTTATTTGTGACGAAAAAATAATAAGTGATTAATTAAATCGCTAATTTGTGATCAAATTATATAGATATATGACCTAAATATATTTAATCAATAAATAAATTAATTAAATTTTAATAAAAATCTGATATTTGAAGTTTGAAACTTGTTTTTTTAATTTTGAAATGTGTAATACTTAAAATCTTACTTATGAAATTTTCCCATAAATATAATATATGAAAGAAATAACTAATTTAAATGAAATGTCAAAGTTGTGGAAAGTGTGAAATTTGTATGGGAGGTTGGGGGGTTCGGGTTATATCCCACATAATAATAAAAAATTCTTTAATTGGACATTGGACTTCCTTGATTAAATTTTTTTTAATCAATTTCAAAATTATTTAATGGGTCAAACTAGCCAATATAATATGACGTTTTTTCAACAATCCACTATCTAGAACCCATTATCCACACATGTGTCCATTAAAAATTGCAAATCTTTCTAGATCATGGTGGATGAACTTATATCTATTTTGCCAATATAAACACTCATATGGTTTTGAAAAAATACATCAAAAATCAAAATTATAATTTCCATATTCTGTAATTTTTACTCGAGTTTACATATTTTTTTGGAGTACACTTGAGAGGTTTGAAATCGTTCGTGATTGTTGTATAAGTGATTTGTTTAATCCTTGTATGCTGAGAGTGATATTGTCCATAGAGGCCTAGTAATTATCGATAGGTAATTTCACTTTAAAACATCATGTCATCACGAGATTCGTTCAATCGATAAGTTTTATTCCTACATTTTACCGTTTTGTAAGTTTCTGCAACTAATTATTTTTCAACACAGTCATGTTGCAATGCATGTGCAACAAGATAACCAGATTTCTGAAATGGTGAAATTTCTTATTCAAATTTATCCCCACAAATATAATTCTAAAGTCATATTTTGTTTTTAGAGAAATATATTTAAAATACAACTAAATCAAATAAATGATATTAAAAAAAAAATTCTATTTTCTACGAAGAAAGAGCTCCAATCTGTTGCCGTGGTAGAAGAAGCTCCAACCAATTGTTGTAGAAGAAGTTGCAATATTCTTCCCTCAGTAATTCATCACTCTTATCTTACTACTTGTTGCCTCATTGAGAAAATAATGAATTGATGTAATTTTGTTGGCAAATTAATGAATTGTTGTTGCTTGTCGACTTAACGAATTATTTTTGAATTATTATTGGAGTATTGGAACATTGATGGACTATTATTTTTCATTTGTGATTTCACAAATCTATAATTGAAAGGTCAACCTCCTCCCAAAAAGAGTAAGAACTTATTTTTCGTTCTCTTTAAAGGTAAATGAAAATGGTTTTTAATATTATATATAAATTTATTAAATTGACTTTTTAAATTTTCAGCCATTGAGTTCTAAGTTTTTGGATTCATAACTGTTTACCAATGTTGTTAGTAGTCCTTAACTTGCGGTCGGCCTACTACAAGCATTTTGGTGGTCCCTAACTTACCGCAGCATTATCACCTTCCACCACTTTTACTCCACCCCACTAAAAGGATAGTAGGTAGGGATGGGCATTGTCTGATTTGGTTCTGTTCTAACGAGAACGGAACCAAATTCGAAATTTTTGGGTATTTAGTAAATGAAATTGTCAGGTCCAAATTTAATTATGGAACCGTTCGGGTTCGAATCTATTCGGTTTAGTTTGGTTTGGTTCTCAGATTCTGTACTATAATTATTTTTTTAATATTTACAAAACTATATTAATTCAACTAATGACATATTTAATCTTAACTCTTATTAAATAACGCAATCCAATCTTATATGTCTTTTGTGTCTATCTTTGCTGAGTTCTTCATAAAGTTGATTGTTAAAATCATAGAAAGACGAAGATATCGAGCTTACAATAATTAAGAAATGAGCTGTTGAGTTTTAATTCGATTTTTCTAGAACGATAAAAATGACATTACAATAGAATAACAAATTTGGGTAAAACTTATGTCAATTTGATTAAATTGAGCTCATATTGAAAATTAGAAATAGTAAAATCATATTTTTGAATTGAGCTCAATTAACTATATAGCAAATTTATTTTCAAAAAATAAAATAATTTGACTTATTTAAGATAAATAAATTAAAAAAATTAGGAAGATTCGGTTATTCGATTCTTGATTAGAACCGATAACTGAAAACTTAACAGAAGCCGTCGATTCTCAATTCAGATACCTATTCGGGTATTTAATTTAAGAAGAATCGCTCGGTTCGATTCAGTTCGGTTTGGAAGTTTTGTCCAACCCTAATAATAGGTACCGAATGCCGTCGTTGAGGATGTGGGTGCGTGTGTCGCTCTTGTCAAGTTAGCTAGTGGCATAGTAGGTCAAGCACTGCCAACAACTTTAGTAGTGGTGCTGACCGTCCATTGCTAGAACCACAAGAAATATAAGTCCCCCGTCTAGCCCGCTATTTTTCGAAGAGAATTGCACACTAACTAGCTTTCGAAACAAACAAACGAGATAAAAAATACTGATCATATCCCCAAATTCAATACCTAAACTGCCAATGTACTTGGAAACCAACTGATACTGGACTCAAATCAATCTCAAATTCATCAATAACTGTTTTCATGCTAATGCTTACACAAATGGGAGATTGCATTTGTTTGTTTCGGAGAGATTGCATTTGTTTGTTTGTTTGTTTGTTTACACAAATGGGAGATTGCATTTGTTTGTTTCGGAGAGATTGCATTTGTTTGTTTGTTTGTTTGTTTACACAAATGGGAGATTGCATTTGTTTGTTTCGGAGAGATTGCATTTGTTTGTTTGTTTGTTTGTTTACACAAATGGGAGATTGCATTTGTTTGTTTCTGAGAGAAGCCACTAGAGTTTCTTGTTCGAAGTAATCTTAACTAGTGTGGAATTGACAAAAGATGTATTTGGTCAACAAACAGATTTTTTACGGACTCCATCCAAATGCCATTACAATGCATATTTTTTCAGAAGTTAGGGATTACTTTTTAAAAAGGTTTCAGACTCCCTGGTGCAAATTTCACTTAAATGAAATCAAGGGCAAAAAGGATCAATTTCACACAAAACACAAGGGTAGGGAGGTCTATGCAAAGAAACAAACATTAGGGACCAGTTTCGTACTGAATGCAAATGTTATAGACCATTTTCGCCAAATTCCCATAAATTTCCGAATTGGGTTCAATGGAAAAATTCAGAAAGAGGAGAAGAGGAGAGAGAGAGAAGTCTATTTTTTTTTTTCTAATCCGGGATCGTAATTTAGAGGGAAATTTTCTTACTTGATGTCGATTGATAGTAGAGGCAGTTGATTTATGTTGTGCGTTTGATAGCATAAAAATGGATGCTGTATGTGTAGATAGCAGCAAACGGCGGTTGCCAATATGGATGATCGGTATGGCTACTGCTGCTGACCCAGTTGGAAAAAATTCTGAATCCAATAGAGAAGAACACGAGGATGGGAAGGCTCTGAAAGGGGGTAAGTGTGGAAGAAAGAAGAAGCAGCAAAACAATTTCATTGGACAAGATGGTGATTCTCATGATGGGGTTATAAGAAATGCGGGCAAAAGGAAGAGTTCGTTATCAAGGGTAGTTCCTAGAAAGCATCGAACCGATGAAGTATGCAGTACTACTGGGACAAAGCGAAAAAGTAAAGCAAAAGCTTCAAGCATTATTGAGAATGGAGAGGAAATCGAAGGTTCTTTGACTGGCGAAAAAGATGAGGATTTGACTATGGAAGACATTATGAGCATTGCTAAAGAGGTTATTTACTTGCATTCATCAATGATTCAATGCGTTTGAAACTAATATAAAGTAGGCTTCTTTTGATTTGTAAAGCTATTAAGATATTTGTAAATATGCCAAGGAAGATTGAGCTGAAATATATTGCTTGTAGTTTTCTTTATGTACTTAGGCAATTCTAGTGTAATCTTATAGGTAAAATAATACGAAAAGGGGAAGAAGTTGATAGAGCGTAATGTGGAATTTGTTAAGACATTTAAAATGATAGAAGTAATTATATTTAACATGGATTATGTCGAAAGATTCTCATTCTCTGTAATGACAAAAATAAAATAAAAATGAGGATGAAGATGAAGATGAAGATAGTGAGATGGGTCATATCCATCATAAAATTCTTGAAAAGAAGTAAAAAATCATTGAATGTGATTTCAAAAAGGAAATAATTTGTATTGAGACGGAGTCTTGTTCAATAAAAACGAGCCTTTAGAAGAAGGGGTGGAACTAGAAACAAATCTTAGGGTGGGCTAAAATTTGGAAATGATATAAGAGAAAAGAACAAAGGTGTAGGCTAAAGATGAGCCTTCATTCAGTGGAAATTTCTGTCGGACTTTTAAATGTAATGTTCACAGTTACTAACACGCGAAACTTCAACTTCCAAATGGTACATGTTATCCATTTAAAAGGGGACACTTTATTGAAAGAGCTTCATTTCTATGTCCGTATTTCAAATTGTCTGTCTTAAAAGTGATGGAAACATTTCTGTACCTAATAATGAAGAATTGGTAGAGAAGGTGGCCTGTGGTAGCCACTCCAACTCAAAAGGGGATTCGTCCGGAAGAAAGAAGAAAAGAAACTTCATTGGACAAGATGGTGATTCTGGTGGACGTGTTATAAGAAATGGGGACAAAGAGAAAACTGAACATCCTCCCCGAAAGCCAAAAAGTAAAGCAAAAGCTTCAAGCATTGAGAAAGGAGAGAAAATTGAAACTGATGAGGATTTGACTATGGAAGATTTAATGAGAATTGCCAAAGAGGTAATTTACTTTTTCTCATCAACAAATCACTATGTTTGTGGAAATTAATAAAAAATAGGTTACTTTCTTTTCGTTAGTAAAGCAATTAAGATTTTAAAAACCTGGAAAAAAAAATGTAAAACTAATCTATGTTGTGGTTTTCTCTTCGTTAGTATGTCAAAGAAGATGAATTTGTTGCGCCTACACAATCATCATCGAAAGGTCAATCTGAAGAAATTACTGAGTTACGAGGCTCATGCCATGGCTCTCGATCTGCAGTAATGGAAAGTGAAAAGTTGGTTCCATCTTGTGTGTCTAAAACTAAAGAGATTGTTGTTGAGCCAAATATGTCAGGGGATCCTACTCAGGACATGTTGGATTTGTTTTTGGGTCCTCTGCTTAAGAGAACCCAAGAAGAAGAAAAGAAAACCAATTTAATTTCAGAGGAGATGAGTTTTGCCTATGAAATCAAGAAACAAAAACAGAGTGTTGTTGTTAGGGAAGAACAGGCTCCTTTGACAAAGAAGAAGAGCAGTCTCAAGGACAAGGTTGCTATGTTTCTGGACTGAATGATATGATACATCGAAATTCACTTGAAACTTGAAGTTTCAATCACCTTCATTGAGGTATGCGTATCTATTTCTCTTTGCATAATAGTTTGGAATTTGTACAGCCTTTTGCTGTTGGGTCTTATAGGGATATTATTCTGCAGATAGCAAATTCTCACAAGGATGAGAGATTTATATAATTATATTATATCTGTACATTAGGATATGATGCCTTTATAAATATATTTACAGCCTAGTATGCTGTTTACATTTCACAGCTGAATCATCATTTGCATTTCACAGACTGAATCATCATTTAACGAAATGCCTTTGTTCGTTTCTTATTTCAGTTGTTTAATTTCTCTTACAGTTTTTTCAAAACTCATTTTCTACCATACATTCTTCTATTAAATGATATTACATGTAAAACTAAAACTTTTCATTATCTTTTAACCAAACATTCAACAAAAAAATCACTATTCCAATATACATTTTCTCCCAAAATCCCAGTAGAATGGCGTCCAAACAGGGGCAAAGCATAAGAGAAGTTTAAAAAGGATTTCTTTCAAGCAGAAGAGACAATGAGACATTAATCAGTTTGTTGTTAAGAGGATTTCTTTCAGCCCGAGAAGAGCTTAAATAATTGTAAAATTATATGATCAGGCACTTCACTGTGCATTGTTACATTGTTCCTATACTTTCTCATTTTGAGTACTGGAATAAACATATAGTTGCATTCTGCTTCATTGATAATCAGATTAAGTTTCATATTGAGGATTTATTTCCTTATACATCTTTCAGGACAGCTGAAAATTCCGGTAGTTTCTGAACTTTTTATAGGCCATGCTTCATTAAATGTCCCTCTGCACCTATTACGGTATTCAGAAGATTCTAACCTTAATATACAGTAAAAATGACAGAAAATTGTCCAATTATAAGTAGAGTAATAGTGGAAAGTTTTGCAGTAGTAAGGGAACGGAGGAAAAGCAGAAGTTAGCAGGACTACTAGTTTCTTGAACCTAGAGTTTGTGCACACGATTGACGGTGATTCTCTCCTTGGGACCTTGACATCTTATGATGCGTAACAGATGTCAAGGGAGTATTGTAAATCATCTTTTTGGTAGAAACGTTTGTGCTAATTTAGTCTATGGGACATGGAGATAAATTCGTTATGTTGTATCATGACTTAGTGCCCGTTTGGTAGTGCTTTGGTTTTTGCCTCTACTTTTTGTAGAAAAACTTCCTAAAAAAGCTATTTTAGGTCAACTTTCTTGAAAAACTCTTATAGTCTTAAGAGACAAAGCGCTTCCTAAAAATTAACCAAACATATTCAAAAGAGATTTCTTAATCTCAGAAGCAACTTTTGGTTTTTCAAAAACCTTGCTAGACATGCCCCTATTCTTTTACCATGGCAAAGAAATAAGAAAAAAGAAGTCTTTCACCATTCAAATTGCAAAGAAGTAAGAAAAGGAAGAAATTGTAAAATATAACCGGTCTTTTAATGTGCTTGCGTCTATTACAAGTGAATATTCTCATTCAATGTCTTCAAACAATTGTTTATTAGGGAATCTTATTCCAGTTAGGTTGTCTCTGGAATCAACTAATTTTCCATTATTTTAGTTATATAAAAATAAATATTTTAACAAAGAAAAAATTAGATGATTTTGTATCCATTTGAATTCTGAGAAGCAATTAGGGAGTCCGGCTTGTGTTTTGAAAGGAAATATTTAATTAAGAGGGAAAACTCATGAACCACTACTCCTTGTCATGCAGTGGGTGCCTGTGCCAGAGGCAACAACAATCAACTGTTGCCCCGAAGGCAGATTGCCGTAACTAAAGGTGTGTGTAAAGTTCAGAGTAGCGTGCACCCACTCTGTAAATTTTGCCCAAGTCAGCTAAAGACTCGAGGGATATCAATCACCTAAGCTTCTTAAACAGTATAAATTGTAGAATCTTGAACATATTATAATAGGGCATCTATATGATCATTCTCTTGACACTTTAGTATCTTATGTAAATATCTTGAATATTTATATTCAAGGAACTATTATAGACTTATAGTGTATCTATACAGTTGGATCAAATTCATCTTTTCCTCCTTTTGAGGAGGTGACAACCAAAAAACTAAGTCTTCATTGTAAGCATCATGTTACAGAGAGCAATAGTTAATAACAAATAAGGTTTCCTCAGGGGTTGATCGAGGGAGGGATCTTGTCCCTACCGATTATCCCAAAAAAAAAAAAAAAAAAAAAAAAAAAGATTTTGGGCAAAAAAAAATTTTAAAAAGGCAATAACATGTTTTCTCACAGCTTTCATTGTTTTCAACACATTGTTTGATTCATGGCATGACTATTACTGGTTCATAGGATTAGGGTTTAAGTTAGAGATATCAATCATGAGTGATACGATAGTTCCATTTTCTTTTAGAACTGCCTTGTCCATCTTATGTGCTCTCTACAAGTTGTACTTAGTCCCCACACTTGGGCTGTGGTAGCTTTGAGTCCTATCGGAGCTTTTACTTAAGTTGTACCTAACAAGATTATTCGAAAAAGTCAAGTACATGCAATTCCATTTAGGTTACCTATTTGTCTGGAATAATGATGCTAGCACTGAAGATGCAAAGTTTGTCATGTACTTTCTTAATACATGCCTGCAATTTTTCAGCATTTGCTTATATTTATAGACAAAAACACCATTTTGTGAATGCATATGTATGGAATTCCAATTATTACATTAAGTTTCCAGTCTGTTACTTTGACATCTAAATGCTGTTCCTTTGGAAAAGCTCCCCCCCGGGCAATCTGTGGAAAAATTATATTTATATAAATATAGGAACCATTATCCTAGGCAGCATTTTAGTTGGGGAAAAATGGTTGGAAAGAATGTATTTACATGAGCAAATATTGTACATCTTCAGAGCCCTTTATTTTACTGTTCTTTTACTTGAATATCGATCCTTAAAACCTAAAACTGTAACAAAATGATGTACAAGAATGCAACTTGGGCTGCAAATTGAATTACAAGCAATTTGCTTTCTGATTTCTGATCATCTCTCAAGGATATCGTTGTGATGGCTGTTAATGGCATGGAAAAGAAAGTAATAAATTAGTTTACCTTTTCATATAGGGTTTTAGAATTGTCATGAAAAGCTTAATCAGTTGAAAAATCCGTTCTATTTGTTAGGGAGATTTGAAGCATCTAGTGATTCTATACCAGCCTTGGTACGTCAAGATTTTTCTTTGGTCCATAAAATCCTGTTCTTGTCAGTTATAGGTGGGATAGGTATGGAAAATTTATAGGTTTCTACATTTTGGTGCAGTAACAAATAGGATGGATTCTTGAATCGTACTGGTGGAATTTGTCGAACTCAAAAGTCTTCGAGTTTGATGTTGATTCTTGGTACATCTTGAGATTATATGGCTTAAGTTTATAATTGGTGAGCCTGCTTGCTGACCATTGTAGCAGATAAGTCTAAGGGTCCATTTGATATAGTTTCTGAAAAGTCAAAAAGAGCTTTTGAGATCCAAAAGTTGCTTTTAGATCTATTTGGCTAATTTTATAGAAGTGTTTTTTTTTTAGTTCGAAAAGTTTTTAGAGAAAATTGGTAGAATGTAGCTTTATCTAAAAGCACTTTCTGAATAAAAAGTGCTTTTAGAGATAATTTTCAAATAAAAATTAAAGTAATTTTCTTCAAAAACTCTTTTATAAAAAGTAAATATAAAAGCAAAAGCTATATATGCTAAACCGGGCCCTAAGTCATTGGTTAAGTGCTACTCATTGTAGACCATCACACAGTTGTGCACCTCCTTTTGAGTTGAAATGAGGAAGCTGCTGTGGCGTCAGTCGGGGTTGGTAGGGTCATTTTGTATAATTTATGGAAAATTCTTCCTGGACAGGCAAGGGCATACCCAAATCTTTTGTATTGTGGGATCAAAAATTAAAATGTAATTTTTTTTAACAAAATAATATTAATAAAAATAAGTCAATACAGTACTACAATTGTAGTCATTTTGAAAATATTATATAATTATATCATTATTAATATTGTGAAATGAATTTTGCTACTTGTATGTTTTTGTTTACCACTTCATCTACAAATGTTTAGCCGACGACGAGTAAATTGAGTTAAATGTAGGAGGTAAATGAATTGAAATAAAATTCAAATTCAATCTAGAAAGTAAATGAAATTCAAATTTAATTCGAAATTAATTTAAATTACATTTAATTTATAAGGATCCTAAATTTTTTTTACGTCATATTCTATATAAAATTTAATAATAAAACGATGTAAATTATATTGAGAAATTTGTTGGACAAAAATAATAAACGTTAATGAAATAATTAAAAATTTTTAAAGGAAAGACGAGTTAGACGTCTTTTTAGAGATGTACGTTTGACGTACGTTTAACTATGTTCAATATCCGTTTGGATCGTTCGACATAAATGCGATATAGTTCTCGAAACGAGTTTCTAAGAGATATAGGCGATTTGAAGATTCGACTAGAGTACGATCGTCTGTTAATTTTTAAAGTTAGCATATTATCGAAAATTTTGGAATGACATATTTTGACGTGCCATAACTTTTGTTTGGTTGGTCGCTTCACACGCCATTAATGAGTGAAAATCTTTTCCGTGAACACTTTGAAATGGTATTAGTAATGCAATATTTTGACTTTTGTTTGAAATCTCGTAATGAGTGTCAAAGTAAGATGTAAAAAACGCCAAAAAAGAAAAAAAAAAAAAAAAAGAAGAAGTGTGGTGTCATTTGACCCACATGATACCATGTTGGTCTGCCCATGTCGATAGGGCCACGTAGGCCTAGTCATTGGCGGACCTACTCATGGTCCAGGTGGGTCACTTGACCCACTAGATTTCAAGATTATTATTATTTTTTGGTTTTAGAGCTAAAAATCAGATTTGGGCAGTAATGGTAGTTGAACTTTTTTATTAGAATAGAGTTACAGCGATAACCAAACAATTGAGAGAGTGAGGGTTGAGATTATTTTGTCATTTACAATATTTAATTTGAAAATTCTTTAGAACTCGTTATTCATCATATATGTGAGATTATTTGGAATTTTTTGAGAATTGTTATTTACCATATATATGAGATTTATGAATCTATGACAATGATCAGTTGTATGTGTTAATGTAGTATACACAATTTTTTAATAACTTTTTAATAAGTTTGAATCGTGCCTCACTAACTTCAAATGTCTGCGTCTGCACTGCCCTGTCCGCACATGGCCCTGTCTGTCCAATTCTGCTCATAATTTATCAGGGCAATTCCTCTTGTCCATGGCCACATAGGCTAGGTATTTCTTGCAAAATCCAATTTATCATATAGTTGTCATGGTATTTTTGGTTTCCTATTAGTTCGCGTTGGTTTAAAGCAACATTTTATGCTGATTGGATAAGATGTCACCCATTGAAATACATAAAAATTGTTAGTTTAAAGCTACCTTGCCTCGTCTTCAAACTTGACACGAGCCTGGTTTTGAGTGCTCTAGCCGGGGAAGGTCGAATACCAAACTATTGTAGTCTATATATTATTTGATTCTAACATAAAATTGAATTAAAAAGGAAAGATGAAACTTTCCAAAAGTTACATGTATAATAATTTGTACTTTCAATCATATCTTATAAATTATAAAAATCATGGCTGTGTTTATTCAACTCAATAGTGGTATAAAATGGGCCTTCAGATAAAGGCTTAATATATAAATCCCATCTCTCTAAAATATTAAAGGGAAGATTTTGTAGACACATAGAATTTTGCAAAAAGTTGTATATCGATCTTCAGATTATAAGTTCGTAACTCTAATCAAGTAAAAATCTCGGGAGGCCAACTTTGTGGCCAGTTAATTTGACGTCATGTTGAGTTTTGTTCCTGTACTCGCGGAAAGTAAACGTTTTGTAACGAGAAGGCTGTTTGCAGCTCCCAATTATTGAATCATAAGAAGGGCAAAGGAAATATGCCACTGAGAATCTCTCCTTTCTTGAATTGGCAATCACTTTGTGCTCAACACTTTTATATACATCATTGCTCCATGCCTGCAATTTATTAATTGTTTAACATTAATTAATTGTCCAAATTAAAATAATTAAGTTTGAGTTGACTTATCACATGCATGCATGTTTGAACATAAAGACACTACATGTTATTAAGAATATGTAATTGGTCATCATTGGAGGGAGAGGGAGGAAAAAAATAATTTTTTAATTCGGAAACAGACATTTTTATTAGGTCATTGCGTCTATGTTCGACCCATGTTTGATCTTGACACTCTTTGAACACCCTAGGACATATATTCAATAAGCGATAATGCCTAAATTTAATTGTTTAACATTAATTAATCATCCACACAATAATTAAGTTTGATTATGAATAGACGCTACATGTTAATTAGGAATCATTAATCAATGGATCAGAGGAACATTTTAATTATTTAATTTGGACAAAGACAGACTAAGGGAACAAAATGAAATCACTATTTGCTTATTTTAATTTAAATTGCGGGAATATGGGACCAACAGGGGCAAAATGTTGGGGGAGACAAATAGATTACAGATATTAATTACATAAATCTGGGTTACAAATCAGTTTGGACATGAACTTATGGGTGTTCTTTTTCTGTCAATTGTCTTAATTTTGTGATGATAATAGCACTGAACCTGTACTCAAAGTAAGACGACACAAAATGCACTATAAGTGATAATACGTTTGAAATGAAGTCTTATCATATGTTATAAGTGATGCTAC